TAAAGCATTACTAGAACAAAAACCAGACCAAGGCAAGTTTTGTCTGATACTCTTAACTCTGAGGATTTCCTGAAGCTTCATTCAATGGTTGACAAGTTATATGATGTGGTATTTTGTCAGATAAGGAAGAGTCACGAAAGGAAACTTAAGAACCTTAGAATTAGAATTAGATCTTTACATAATCAGAATTCAACCAAAGGAGAAGAGAAAATGAAGATATGTCGGGAAATGGCTAACCTGTCCAAAACATCATGGAAAGTACTACTAAAGAAGCTCTATCTTGAGCTCTTAATTATGCTTTGCCAAATAGTAAGAGCTTAACTGATGAGATTTTAGTCGAGATTATTAACTTTACTGACCTATTAGCAGAAGAAACTAGAAGTAATATTGAAATATGGGTTGTCTTTCTAATTGATAACCATGCAGAACCACAAAATAAGAATAGATGTGTTAATAATATCAGAAAGAAGCTTAGAAAAAACGAGCAAATATCTTTAAGGGCTTACAAAGGAGGAGCAGTAGTAGTAATGGATAGCACCGATTATATCGAAAATATGATGCTGGCTTTAGCTGATGATAATACGTATATAATTATAAATAAGGATATTGTTGATACTTTCATTTCGTATAAAAATGTATGAAGAAGAGATTCGTAGGTTGATCTTACCAGAAGAGGACGGTTGAATCGCGTTTTACTATAGCTGTTTGGTTTTTATACGACGTTGAGATTGACATAATTCACGAGACCTCCCTCGTTTCTGATGAAAATAAGCTGAGCTTTCGTCCATCATATGTAGGAAATCATCAGAGTTGGGACTCATTCTTATAAAATTATCAAGTTAACACTATGACAAGAATACTTTCCGACTCTATCTTACCTCTTGTATAGTTTCATTTGAGCAAAAGAGAGTTTAAAAACATAGATTGATATATAATGCTTTTATTAATTATTTTTGGTTAACTTTATGGATGGTAGTTTAACACCTCTACCTACTGTACAGGGTAGACCCTGTAGAAAAAATAAAGTCGAGACTTAAGAGTTGCCTGCAACAGTTTTAATAGTGGAGAATTGGAGAAATGCACTTCTCAAAGGTAATGCCACAACTCCTATGCATATGGTCTGACCAAAATCCACAAAGACGGGATCTCACTTAGGATCATTGTAAATAATAAGCTTTGTTTGATGCATAAAACACCAGGATTCCTTTGTGGTTAATAAGAGTTGATCTCAGGTTTTTGGAAATTGTCAATAAATAATTATTATGAATTTATACAGTTAATAGACTTCTAAATGGAATGAGAGAGGGAAAAAGAGAAGGGGCAGGAAAAGCTACTGAGTAAGAGAAGACTAGGCTAAGCTGAAGCTTGTTTTGAGCCTAAAATTGTCAACCAACTCGGGGTTTTTGCATACACACGCAAACACGCATCTACGAAGCAGTAACAAGACCCAGGACAACTGGATCATACTGTTGTTTATTAAGATTGATAAAAGTTGTGATCAGATATGTTCTCTTGCCTACATCACTTTGACCCACCTACATGCATGTAAGACAAACATACGTCAGCTAATCAAATCATGGAATGTCTAATTAAGATCACAAAGTGAGGTATAAGAAATAAGTAGGATCAAAGATGGCCATCTTTCTCGGTTTGTGGTTTTTTAGTGATTTTTCGTAAAAAACGGTTTCAGGCTCTGAACATATCCGTCACAGGACGAACGAAGGCTCAGCACGGAGTCATCGGGGTCGCACGGCGGTGAGCCGAGGTCTTCTGCGCACAATTGAACAGACAAAAGTCCAAGGCAAACCTCCTGCGATAACCGGTGAGGCCAATCTACGAATTAATTCGACCCGCCTTCTCAAAACGTCATGGATTCTGCGAAACCTAGCTTCTCTTCATACAACTAAGTTCATTTAAAAATAGATTTAATTAAATAGAAGACTTTACGGGTAGCCTTGGCACTTACCTGGGAGATCATCCGCGTCAATAATATCCTCGCCCAGAGGTGTCTCGGCATCAGGATCGGAATCTTCCATCTCGTCGCCTAATGAAGTACTGGCCTTTTCTGGCCTGGCTTCCTCGGCTTGAGAGGAATGTGAGGCGGATACAAGGGAGTTCGACTTGCCGGATGCATAAGAGCAGGTGGTTAGGCTGGATCCTGTAGGCTTTTGATTCCCCAGTTGTTGTTGCCTTTGTAGCTGATGCTGATATTGCCGTCGCTGTTGACGATCCCGCTTCCCACATTTGCCACGCTTGACCCCCTTTTGCTTGCACCATACTGGCACGGATGATTTCTAGAAGAATAAGTCAA